TTCATAGACCCAAAAACTCTATTATGTCTGCAGATGCTCGGACCATATTCTTCGTATTCTGCTTTCGTGTGACAATAAGAGTAAAATTCCGGCTATATGTCAAACGGAAATTTTAAGTAATAATCAATATACATGCAGCATCTTAAAATAAATTTGAGGCCGTAAATCTGAGAAATAACCACAAACCGTATTCCCAAGCAAAGAGCCTCCATACCAAACCGCGTAACGCTGTTTCTTGTGAGAGATTACATTAACGTCTATTGGTGTTGCCTACATGTATATCAATATCAAATAGATTAATGGCCAAAATCTTGAGAGCTATAAAAATTAAACATTTTTGGCAGTACCTTTAACGTGCCACCGCTTAATTCCTCACTTCTTTTAATGCGTGCATCGACCACACGTTTTATATCTCGTTGTAGGCGTTTACCAAAATCTTTAAACATAGTCGAACCGCCCGAAAGAACTATATTCTATTGTAGGATTTTAACCAAGTTAAAACCTGTGCAATGGAAAAAAAACAGGAAAACAAAATACCTTGTATAAACCACGTCTAGTATCAATTGGACAACTTTGAATAACGTTATCCACAACTTCAGGAATGGGTGTTAAAAAGTCAGATGATGCAATTTCAGGATTGAAAAATATTTCCGGTCCTAAGAAACGTTCAAACCCAACGTCAACTTCATATGGCTATTATTAAAAAAGAAACCGCGTCAAGTAATACCTAGGACGTCGGCGAAGTAAAAAAAAAAAAAAAAAAAAAGGGAAGAATAAGAGACAAAGATAAACCTGGCCCGTAACGCTGTGAATTCCCTGATACTTTTGAAAGTATTTGTCGCCTTCTTGGTCATATTTTTTAAATTCCTTAACAATATCTTGACAAACATATGAAAATTGTTCCTTAATACGTTCTGCCACTTTCAAAGAGTCTTCGGGAGGGATTGAAGTTTCATTCCGATCACGAAGAAGTTGTTGAACAAAATATGTGATATCACGACCGGCAATTGGTATATGCTTAATTGACGATCCTACTACGTAACCCTCGGCCTAAGAATAATATTTAAAGACATTTTCCAATAAAAAAAAAAGTCATGCTCATTGTAATGAATATCTAGACATACCACCGGAATAACATGAGTAACACCATCTCCACTGTCAATGACAGTACCGGTTAATACGAAATCAGACGTCTTATTGGAAGCCCAACTAGCAGCCAATGCTAAAACAGCTTGAACTGCTATGTAAAGTCCTTGGATGTTGAAAGATTCAAACATAATTTCAGCTGTTTGTTCTCGATTTTCGGGTGCATTGAGTGGTGGTTCCGTCTGGTTATTTATTATTATCATTATTCAGCACAATGCGATAGTTAAATATCCTTTAATTCAATGCTAAGAGGGGAATTAATCAAAAAATCAGAAATCTCATTTATAAAATTTTACTACTTACCAAAAGAAAATAATGATCCTCAGGTTCGCACCTTAGATATTTGAAAATACTTTGCTCCCAGAAACGTTCCATTTGATCCCAATTATCAATTTGTCCGTGTCGAATTGGATAGTGTAATCCATATGTTTTAGAATTTAATATAGCATCATTTCCGATAAAGAAGTCTAAATCTTCGATACCACGCTTTGAAGCAATATTTCCAGAAATAGAAGGTTTGGACTGAAGGGCTGTTCCAGACGTACTGGTTGAAACTGAGTCACGCGTAGCAATCACTGTGGGAAAGACGAAGGACGGCGCACTATTTCCAGCGAAGCCCAGCTTCGTGTACCTATTTTGAAATAAATGATAATTCAATTAAACTTAATACCTGGAAAAAAAATAATGTTTACTAACCCAGTTCCATTATCCATGATTACCGGCGGAAGTCTTAATGACATTTTTAAATAAACTATAGACGGATAACCAAGCGAAGATGTGAGATATTCACAGATTTTTACGATCTATTTTAATTGGCCTTGTGTTTGTAGTGTTTCTCATGGGTAGGCTCGGGCCGGGTTTTTCATTAAACTAAGTGCCACACAAAAAATGCGCGGCAGTTCCATGATTTTGATTGGCTATACTACCGTAAACTGCTGACTCTTGTATCCGGGTATTTACATTGACTCCGGGCATTTTTTTCATTTTTCATCTCCATTCTTCGAAGTTTTTTATTTATAGGGTGTTTTCCAAGACTTTTATTTTAACTTTCAAATAGCCCCGGCTACAAATCATGGGGGGTATACGAGTTAGCAGTTTATAGTATTTTTAAATTGGTCATAAGAAATTATAAACGATGCACCTATGCACTTGTGCCTCTAATTAATTAAGACTTTTTATATATGTAATAAATTTAGGAAATTGATATTTCCACACCCTTTTTTGATATTGCCACACCCCTGTTAATAAAATTCAATATAAATTATTAAGGTTTGGTTAGGGTTTAGAGTTAGCAGGGGTGTGGCAATATCAAAAAAGGGTGTGGAAATATCAATTCTCTAAATTTATTCAAATTTGATTTGATTTGACAAATTTATTATTATTGTTTTGTTTTTACTTTGGCAGTCATTTTTTTTTAATATTAACCTGGTATAATTTTTTTTTTTTAACACTATTGGCTAGTTATGTCTTTATTAAAGTTTTGTTACTGCTGATGACAATCATCATGTTGCTACTTCAACATGACAAAGTTATTTGAGTATCTACATGTAACTAATCACATTAGTAAGATAGCTAATATCTATACAAGAGACAGATATTACCTATTACCTGTTTAGAGTTATATACAAAAAAGAAAAAAAATCTATATATATAAAAAAATACAAAGATATAAGGAAGTATAATAAAAAATATATATGTAGAATATTATTTATTAAAATAGTCTATTTTTATAATTTTTTAAAAAATGAATTTTTATTAGATTTATATAAATTTTGACATGGTTAATATTTTTCAATTATAAATAAAAGCTAATTTGTATAATAAAAAATTTATAATAATGTAAAGAAAAATTATATAAGGCTTCATAGAGCCAATACATTACAAGATTACCTCATAGTCATCTGTTATCTTTAACCAATCAAAATTATAAAATTTAATTAATTTTAGATCAGTCTGAAAATTAAAACAAATAATTAAATTCAATTATCTCAAAATTGGTTATATATAAAAATAGACTATTTTAATAGATAACATCCTATATATTAAAAAAATAAAAAATAAAAAAAAACCAAATACAGAACATCAGGAAGTTTTTT